ATAATAATTTATTTATTTATTTTCTTTCATATTTCTGAAAATAATAAATAAAATAATAATAAAATAAAATTTCGAACTAAAAATTTCGAAAAAATTGCTACTATGTAAAGCAAGTCTGCTTAAGCTGCTGCTCAAAAACTCTACTTCGAATTTTTGCTATAAAATTATTATCTATTATTTTGTATATATAGTAGTCTAAATTTTTTTTTAACCATAGTTGCTAGAAAATATTTAGTTTGCTGGCGAAGCAATAATTTTTTATTTTTGTTCAAGCTTTTCTACTCTTTTAATCAATTCTTACTATGTAAGGCCAGTCTTTTTAACCCACTACCCACTTTAAATCAGAGAACAGCGGGAGAAACTTTATCATGTCTAACGTCATTTGCTTGAGTTTTAATTTTTCGCAGCTCTGGCAAAAGAAAATTATGGCAATAAGCAGAAATTGCAACTGCATTTTCAGCGAACATGCCTTACTTTTAAATGCACTTTCGAATTTCATGACAACTCAGGCTACAGAAGTAAATTGAGCATGCCACAAAAAGAGACAGAAAAAGTTGGGAACATAAAAATAAAGTAGATTTTTGTTTCTTTTTTTTCGGATGGAAGCGCAACAGACGTAACTTAAGAAAGCGTGCCCTTCTATCATTTCGGTAAGGCTGAAGTCGCAGAAGACGGCGACGACTGTCGCAATTTTTCACTTTTACCGCAACAACTTTGCAAAAATATTACTCAGCCGGTCGCCCAGCAGCCATATTCTGACAGCAAATCCGATGTGCACAATGCACACAAGGTGCCGACGATGAGCCGGAAACTTGACAGTTGCTGCTCCTGCTGCTGCCTCAGTGAAATGAAAAATATGCTGCACATAAATCCTGCGGCTTTCCCATTTTCCGGCAATGCCAGCCTGCACAAAGCCAAAGGGCCTGAAAAAAAAAAATAAGAAAAATAAAATACGAAAGGAAGGAAAATGGTTATGAGAAATCAAAAAGGAAAATTCCTTTTGAAATTACATATGCAAGTTTCATGTTGCACTAGCTGTTGCTACTGTTGCACACGCATATGCAGAACACTCAGGCAAATGGAGTGTGATTCAATAGAGTGCAAGGGATAGAGAAAGGCCTAGAGAGGCAGAGGGCGCACAAGCTGAGCGCATTATAATTTCAGGCTTATTTTGGAGTTCGCTTCTTTAACCGCATTGTGTGCTGCGGCTAATTTATGCAGAGTCGCGCTGCGCTGCGGCGAGTGCCACGGCACCACCGCAGTTTATCGCCAAGCGCACAAGTGTCCAGAGATGGTGACCACAAATCACTGAGGTCAAACATGGCGTATACGCAACGCACAGCCAGCCAAACACTAACATGTGTAAAATAAAACAACAAACAGCGGCAGCAGTGGCAACAGCGGCAGCAACAACAACAATAGCTACGATAGCAACTACAACAAAAACTATGTGCAACTATGTCAACATATGACACCACGTTGATTTCAAATTGAAAATCTCTGTTTGTTAGTGGGTGTGACTCTAGTGTGTGTGTGTGTGTGTGTGTGTGTGTGCAAGTGCATGAGTTTGTGGTTTTATAAATAGATTAGCAACAGTAGAAATATAAAACAAGAAGTGCCAGCTAGATACATACATATATATTTTTTGCTGTGGCATATTACATATTTAATACACTTACAGATGTTTTGCCAATTTAAAAAAATAAATAAATAAAAAATAACAATGATAAAAACTGAAATAAATTACAAAATATATTTATAGAGAGAAGAACAAAAAGTATCATACAATTGAGTAAGTTTTTAAACATATACTCTATATAAAAAAATGACTTATTAGATTTTAAAGACTTTTGAAATAAATATCACAGATTTTATGCAAAAATATTTTTCATGTTTGACTTCTACTCTACTTTCTACTCGCTCTGAAGTTTGTTTTCATAAAAATATTTTTCAATAACTTTTGATTAAAAAGTTGAAACTGAAAAAATATTGATTTTAATTTATTATAAACATTTTTTTTTATATATATTCAAAATTTTAAATAAATATAAATATACAATAAAATTTGCAATTAAAAATTCAGATCAAAATACATGTATTTATCAAAGTCTCTATATTGTGTATATCAAAATGAAATATATTTAAAATAATGTTCTTAAATTCTTATTAGTATGTTATTGTATTTGCTGTAAATATTTTAAAATTAAATATTAAGTTGAGCAATTCATATTTTAAATCAAATATGAGATCGACTCTTGTCAATACTCAATCCTAGTGTATAAAAGTGAGCAAACAATGGTGACGCTCTAAAAGTTGAATGAGTTTTTACTGGGGCCAAGTGTTTGGCTGTAATTAAAACGCCCCGCTAATTGCCACTTGGCCAGAAACCAAACCCAACTTGCATATAATGAAAAATCTGTAAACAACTTGTCTATATATAGAATTTTCCTTTTATTTTCATCTATTGCAGATGCTTTTGAAGTGGCTGCTGTTCAGCCTGTGCATAATGCCGGCCATGTTCAGCAATACGAGCAGAAAGTGCCCCGTCGAATGTAGCTGCAGCATTGATGATATGGACCGCTATCAGGCCATCTGCACAAAGGGTAAGTGCCGCAATCTGTGCCAAAGGTACAGAGAACAAAAAGCCGTAAAAGGAGCAAAGCAAAATGTACGCAAATTATGCAATGCACGCGAACTGGAGCTGAGGTAAACCACGCAATGGAGCTATTATTAGGATAACATCATAATTGCAGAGCTGAACTTAACYGAGCTGAGCTGAGCCAGAGAGCAGCTCATTGCCCATATGAGCATTAACGAGTATTTTCCCGATTAAAGCATGGACAGTCTCTGTTTCTGTACGCTTTCCTCTTTTCAACATTCTCAGACAATTTCTTTCTCTCAATTTCAATTTGCTCGACTGTCATCTGCCGTCTTGAGCAACTGAGAAATCTATAATTTCAATTTAACGCTTGTTTGGCTAGCGCACACATTGTATGTCGTTCGTGTCCTTGAATGTGATGCCTTGAATGTGATGGCATTGTCGTTTTAATTTCATTTTCCAAATCTTCGGCACAATAAGTGCGGCACGGCTAAGCAGCCAAACGACGTCTGCCATTGGCAGTAAGACAACCAAATGGCTTTCAATTTGCCACAGATTATTTCAGCCTGAATTCAACATATTCTCGCTCTGCATATTTATGCCAATTGAAGTATTTTCGTTTATTTATTATACATAATTAATCTTTATTTTTATTATATATTTATCTTAAGTTCTTTAATGTTTTTTTGTTACACTAAACCGTTTTTGCTTTAATTCGAGAAAGTCATGGGTATTACATTTTGAGTACTACGTAAAATGTTTGCTATTTATATAATTATTTTGTGTTTCTTTTTTTTTTT